AAAACAGAAAAAAAAAAGAATTAAGGGGAAAAAAAAAAAAAAAAAAAAAAAAAAAAAACACAAAAAACAAAGATGAAATGAATCACAAGGCGTTTGAACAGCGGGAGACTGCCTCTCGATGCCTGCAGCAAAATTCTATTTTTTGACACATTTTGCAGAAAAGCCAACATGATGTTGCACTAAATATTTCTGCAGTTTCACATCCTTGTATATCAGTTCTCTCTACAGCATCTTGAACAAATTGGACAATCACCTACAAAAAGTCCATGTTCTAGTCTATCTTTTTGAGTAAAATACGAGATTTACTTCTCAACTTTAAATGTTATTTATTTTTAGGTTGCTTCATGGTTTCCATTATATTTGTTATTTCACTTGACCAATAAAATGTTGCTGGATGAGGGAGAAACTGGAAAACCTAGTTCCAGTTTTAATGGTGCTTCTGCACTCTTGCGTCTTGCCACATTTTTTGCTTCGTCGTTCCTAATCACACAACCACAACGCTACGATAATGGATTTTCTCTTCAATTTGGCGAATTCCCTAATAAATGCCAAAGGTTTCTGTACAACTACGACCAGTTTTGGTGGTGGAGAAACCCTGCTGTGCGGAAACAAGCACCGTCAGTATTTATATAAGCCTCATGGCAGAAAGAAAGGATGCATTTGAAAGGGTTTACAGAGTGCAGTGCAACACAGAGTGTGCCATCCTGCATAATAATGTGAATCTGCCCGAGAGAGCCAAAAAACAATACCAGCGTTTTTTCCTGACCCCTGTTAGTTAAGCACACCGAGACTCTGAAGTCTAAAGTTGTGAATTTTGGTGCGACCAGTGTAATTGTATTACAAACCTATCTGTGTGCAACTTTCCCTCCTTTCTCTTCCTCTGCATCTGAACTATAGCCTAAAAATAAAATGACTTTCTTAAGTCAACCAGAATATACAAACGATTTTAGAAATGTGTGAAACTGTTCGCTGCTGGGATCCCTATTCCAGTTCAGAGATCTTTAATTTTTTTATTTCATTGGCTTGAAAAGTCTTACAGCAGGTGCAAAACTTGTCTTTCTCTGCCAGCTTGTTATCGTCATTCCTCCTTCAAATGATCTGATGATCAA